AATTTACAAAGGAAGGCTTAGCGTGATGAATTGTTGCTTTGAACGCATAAAGGTGGCTTAAACTTTCTAATTGCTAGCTAGGGCTTCCACAAACTTTAGGATACGCTCCAAACACGTTTCATAGATAGATAGGTTTAAAAGATGTGTTAACGTCTATTTTATGTCCTGTCTCTATAATATGTTTCTCAATAGAGAAGCTAGGTCTCCAGTTCTCACCATTATTGGCTTCTGAAGATTCCATTTGTTTCTGGAACCATTTAGGAATATGCTCTGAAGCCAGCCCTTACTTGCAGAGATCGATGAGTCCTCCCTATGTATGTGTGTCCTGACATACATTCAATTTGTTAAATTCAGTGGGACGTGACGTCATATTTTGCATGTTTGAAGGCCTTAGGTAGATATATTGGCTTTACATTCCCCATTATTATGATATTAGCTGCACAAAAAGTCTTTTTGACAGCAGCGTTCAGTCTTTGTCTAGTTATGAAGCTGCTATGATGTCCCATATAGAGTAGCGTGATGCACACGTGTTTCTTACGGGTGAGTTGTAGAATGGGTCTTGGTGTTCTGACTACCTTATTTCTCCTGATGAACGTGTCTGGATAATTGTTATCAACCAGAGTTTGTGTCAGCTTTCATTTTTCTGCATCAAGTCTGTCTTTAGTGCATATTCGTTGGATTCTACTAAAGAGGCACCTTACTAAGGCTCTTTTTTATTTCACTTGTTGCACTTGTCATTCTAAATCAAATTTTTTGTAACGTCAAATTCAATGTTATCAGATTCTACACGATGTTAAGTAACGTTTTCATTTTTATCCTATTTGCCTACTACTCTTATAATTTAACACCTCTTGCCACTTATGATACTCAGAAATAAGTGACTTGAGTTCCAAAAATGACACTCTTAATCATCGAACTACTGAAATTCTGTCTTAGTAGACAGTGTGACCTAATTAAAAATATTCTGGTCATGTCAAGTTGTATGTAGATTAATTAAAAGCAGTTTGAAAATCTAAGTCCCTAGATTTCACATTATGACAACAATCAGCAGTGCAGATTGAGAATGACTATAGAAATATACGTGCACAATTGCATTCCTAATGACATGCTAATCCAATTTTTACAAGGTGTTTAAATATCAGTTATCCGCCAAGTTTGACAATCCATAAGCTAAAAGTAAGTAAGAAGAAGGCAAGCTCGTATACCATTCAGCCACTGGAACTCGATTCAATGGCCAACCGATGAATACTAACTTGTTTTGTTGGGTGCTTACTGCCAATGATTCCCAAAACTGGGATGAAACAGCTGTCCAGTACTGCCAGCTGGTTTTCAATGATTCTCTAACTGATATCAATCCGTGGTCAAACTCGTATCAACAGATCTAATCCTTACAAACCCAACTCTTGAAAATTAATCTGATGCTCGCTAGTGAGTGAATGGCTGCAGGACGGAGTTTCCTGCAAGAGTTCTAGTGAGAAGTCGTGATCAGAGAGCTTCGTCCAGTCAAGTGTGAGGATGGCTGCCCAGCCAATGATATTGGTTGGTGCCAGTTGCGCTAAAATCACGAATTGGTAGAAGTTAGAATTCATGGACTGGCCATTTCGGAGTCCGGTCCCAGTTGCTGAATGATAAACGAGATTGCTTTGTAACCGGGAGGTTCTGGGTTTGAACCTCCCCTACTGCCAATGATTCCCAAACTATGTAAGAACAGTTAGGCTTTCATATATGTGTATCTTTATCCGTTAATAATTTAACAGAATTAGGAAATTCTTACTAGGACACTTGGAAATTCAGAAAAAATGATTGAGTGAACAGTCTCTTTTCGATGAATTTATCAGCAAGCTGATAAATATATATACATATATATATATATGTATAAAGTATAATTATATTTCAATAGTTTACACACAATGATAAGTTTTGTTATTGGTAATATTTCGAGCAAAATTACTGCCCGTGTTCACACCACTGTTGGAAGTGTTTTGTTCACACATTTATGATTTGTACTCATATATATAGTTCATTATTTTTGTTCATTCATGTTTTTTTTGTATTTGAGTTATATTCCACGTTCATTCATGTGTTTGTATTCAGAATTATATTCCAAGTTGTTGGTAGTTGTACTGACTCACCCTTGTTACATGTATCCAGTGTGACTTTAATGGATATCGATTCTGTTATAAGTCTTTCTTTCCATTTGTTCATGTTAGTTTTTAGCATACACACATTGACCCAATCGGTATTGTGGTTTTTGTCCCATGCATGTGTAGCTATCGACGAATTTTTTTCAAGATTCTTTTAGGCTTGTGTTCCTGTTGGTTGACCTTTGGTTAGGCGTCTATGTTCATTCACTCTTATTTTCAGTGATCTGGACGTTTGCCCCACATATTTAGTTGGACAGTCAGCACAAGATATTTTGTAAATCAAGTTGTTTTTATCCATCATTTTTATGGGATCTTTCAGTCGATTTATTTTATTTTTGATTAGATTTGTCGGTTTAAAAGTTGTGTGAATGCCGATATTTTTGAGGTTTCTTTGAATTGCCTCTGATGTACCATTTTTATATGGTATTGTGACTGTTTTTTTTTTGCATTCTTCCATCTTGTTGTTCTCCGGTTTTACCCTCTTTTTTCTCTTTTTTTATATTATCTTTTATAAATTCTATTGGGTAGTTGTTTTCGAGTAGCATTTTGAATAGGACGTTTATTGTTTTACACTGGTCCTCTGGCGTTGTTGTAAGTCTACGGATTCTATCTGCAAGCCCTTGTATTAATCCTCGTTTCACCGTGAGTGGATGAGCTGAGTGTGTGGTTTTTCTCTATAGCGTCGTTTTAATGCTACCATCTGTTATTCTTTGTATTTTGCAGTCTAACATAGGTAGTTCCCCAATTTCATTCTCTACTTCCATAGTGAATTTTATTAAGTCGACATGGCTGTTTATGTGTGAAAAGAGTTTCTCAGTATCGTTTTTTTTCACTATTACTAGTGTGTCGTCTGTATATCTCCACCAACATTTTAGTGATGACCTGAATGGTTTAAGGGCATTTTCTTCCCAATAATCCATGAATATGTCAGCTATTATTGGTGAGATAGGCGATTCCATGGCTACTCCTTCATTTTGTTGGTATATTTTCCCTTCGAATGTGAAATATGTTGTTGTCAGACAGAATTCCACTCCTTTTATTATCTTTTCTACGGATAACTGTGTTCTGTCGTTTATTATTATTATTACCAATAATATTACCAATAACAAAACCTATCATTGTGTGTAAGCTATTGAAATATAATTATACTTTATTTGATCTAATCCACAATGCTCAAACTTTTTACTGACATTAATATATATAAATATATACAAATGCACAAATCTCAAACAGTTGTAGAAATAACAAGATTATTAGGCAGTTGAAACATTATGCGACAAGGTGATAATTATGATAATAGCTAACATCGCAAAACATAATAGTGAATTAATTAAATAAAAGTTGTAAATGAGATAATACCGGGAATAGTTCAAAGGAAATTAGTGATAACAATCGGCATAAAATAAGGGAAAGAAATACAAAACAAAAAATGAGTACAGCCGAAATTTGAATGGGGATTATCAATACTTTAGCATAGAGGGATTAACACCATGAAAGTTGGAGGGGTTGAACAAACTTTCCCTGTATACAAAGATCTGGCTTCTCAATTTCGATGGCCAAAGAAAGCTTCAGCAATGCAACAGATAAATCTGATACATAATAATTTGAGTAAATTATTTTTCGTTTTATAGATGGCTATAAAGGCTGAGGTTGTAGAGACTAGCGGTGACTAGTATCGACCAGATGTTCAATTATTGTATCTCCTATAGCCCCCCATTTCCAACTCTTCATAACCTTGCAGAATAGTGTTCTTGTACCCTCTTTGAGAAAAAACCCGAGTCGAGTGATCAATATATCTTGCTTGCTACGGGGTAGATGAATTGATAATCGCACATGGAGTTGGTCAACTGTTGGATCTTGTTCTTTAGGTTACTAAACAGTAATGGTCGACTGACTATATAACGGCATTCTTAATGACGCTGAAGTAAAGTGTTCTGCTCAGGGGCTGTGAGATCCTTCTTTCAAGGCAGTGAGTAGCCAATTCACCTTTAAATTCAAGATTCATATACAGTAATCCTTTTTGAGGTTCATACATTTCATGGACTATTTCCTAGAAAAGTTACTTCAATCAATGAAATCGTACACATTGAGTATGTGAATCACCTCAAGTATATTCTGAAAGATAACTTGAATTAGAGTGAATTGAACAAAATGTCAGAGATGAGGCCATTTAGGAAATTGATAAGTGATTACTGTCTTAGGACAGAATGACTGACCGCTGTTTTTTTCCTTCCGTTCCACAGCGGAACATAGGGCTACAAGCTAGTGGCTTGAAGTTTCTGTAGCAGTGTAGCCTCATGCCCAACCTTTCTTCTTCACCAGGATTATTTCTGGCTTAGCGAGGTAAAGGAGTGCGTTGCCGAGGATCATCCCCGGACCATGTGCATGTCGGCGAGCGTCCTAACCGCTATACACCGACCGTGTTAGACATCCTTAATGCTTGCAAGTTTTCTAGCCTGTCCCAAGCCCGGTTAAAGAGGAGGTGGGGTTGGGCGTGGGCTAGCAAACCCACATCACTAAACTTATGAAACCGCTAGAGAAAATATAATAATAGTACTCTGAGCATAGTGCATTACGTGAGATTACAGGATTAAGAATCGTTTTTAAAATTTAAAAAAATCATTTTTTCAATCAGAAGTGAACAGATAAACGTCTGATCACAATAACGCACTGCATGTTCACATATATATGTCAAGACAACAATTTCCAGTCCCAGAGTTATCCATGTATGCCTGAAATGCATCAATGCATTTGTCCTACGTTTAGAATAATTTCAGTTGAAAAAAAGTATTCACTAGTCCAGTTTGTTCTTTTGAGTGGTCATTGTGTTCTCTTTTTTTTATTTTTCTTCACCAGATGGATGATGTTACTAATATATGGTCACGATCAGGTGTAGCTCTTTGCTTAGAATCACCTTATCTTGCATTAACCAACGGAAGACATGATCAATGCTGGAATGGAACAGCTATATCAAGGTAATCATTATAACAATTCAGAACGGATAAATGTTAAAAACTTAATCTCTCGGCAGTTAGTTTCAAGAGTTCGGTTTGCAAGGATTAATTTGTTCATAAGAGTTTGACGACGGATTGATATCAATTAGAGAACCGTTGGCAACCAGCACTGGAGTACTGGACAGCTGTTTCATCCTAGTTTGGGAATCATCTGCAGTACGTACCTACCACAGAGGAGTCGAACCCAGGACCTTCCGGTTATAAGGCAGTCTCGTATACCATTCAGTCACTGGGACCAGATTCAATGGCCCATGAATCTTGGTGGTCGCGCTAAAACCACGAATTGGTAGAAGTTAGAATACATCGACTGGTCATTGAATCAGGTCCCAGTGACTGAATGGTATACGAGATTGCCTTGCAACCTGAAGGTGCTGAGTTCGAACCCCCTGGTGTGGGTGCATACTGCCAATGATTCCCAAACTATGCTGACGAGACAGCTGTCCAGTACTGCCAGCTGGTTTTCGACAGTTCTCTAACTGATATCAATCCGTGGTCAAACTCGTAAAAACAAATTTAAATATGATCCCTTATGTCCAATGATTACTTTCGCTCTACCTCAACAGTAATATGTATTTAAACACTGCCCGTTGAAATTTACATTTTTCAGTGAACAGATATATATGACAATATGAACATGTAAAAAAGTTAGGATGTTCTAAAGAATCCTGAGTCTCCGTAAAGTTGGAGATACTCTCTGTTAGTGAATATTGTTATAGAGATATTCTTGTGCCTTGAATTTCCTTACTGGTGTCAGTAACAAGTTCCTCATCAACACTGAAGATAAGCTTTTAGAAAAAAACATGGCCACCTTGAATGATTTATTATGAAATGTTTTTTTGAGCATCCCAGTGAATCTCTTCTGTAAAATAGCGGTTTGTCATCGAAGAGTAACACTGCTGACATTCTTAACTGTACTGCAAAATATGAAACCATCTTTTGTCATTCGGCAATACGAAAAGAGCCATCTATAATAATAGTGTAACAACAGAAGGCAAGACTAGGAAACCAAAGTATATTTCCCATTAATCATACCGCTGTTTATATATCTACAGTTTATATTCTTTAACCAATCAGTAAGCGTGTGATTTCGGTTTACATCGGGTGTTCAAATATTCATAGTATTCTTGTTTTAATGCAGTATATAACAGTGGGAAATGTATTCTGTATCTAACATCAAATAGAATGTTCAAACAGATATATTGTATGCAGTATTGAACTGTGAGAATATATGAGAACAATATTCCGTTGGCACACATTGTCTGTATCATACCACCACAATAGTAGCTTTATTCTGGAGTCCTAATGACATAACTTAGGAACAGTTACCTTGTGTATTAAGATATGTTGTTACATAATTTTTTTACAAGTGTATATACATTAGCTTTATCAGAAAAGAATAAATATTAGTTGGAGCTACTATTCACGTCATCAAAATGTTTCAAGAAATGCGATGAGTAATCAAATTGTAACCAGTGGGGGAGGGCTGAAGATCAGTAAGAGGTTAGTGATGATAAGTTGTCAAAAAACATAGTTGTTAATGTTAGTCAATGCATAAGAGAAGTTGAATAAGTGTATTCTAGTTAAGTAACAAGATGGATTATTTACTGAGGGAGTTTTGATTGGGTCTGACATAGAAACGAAGGTAAATATAGAATTATGTAAGAGTTGTAAAGAAGAAATACAAGAGTTATGACGAGTTATAATAGCAGGTACACAAATATCAAGTGAGTAGGGTTCAATACAGTTGTTGCCACAATAGTAGAAGTGGTTGAATAACTTTCTTTTATATACACAGCTCTGATTTTTCCGAATGAGTGACTAAGACCTCGGCAATTCAGCCAGCAGACGAAAGCGTATTATCTTTGGTAGGTCATTTTCGACTCTGTCGATTACTTTGAAGTAGGAGGTGTTTGTTGAGATGGAATGGTTAGTGTTGACAAGGTGTTCGATGATCGCACACCTTATACGATCACTACTACCCTTGTGCAGCCACACGGGATAATGTTCTTGAAACCTTTTGGCCCTGATACGCGTCGAAAGACCAGTGTGCCTGGCTCCACACCCACCGGTGAACTGATCTATGCACATAGAAGTGGTCTACTATCATGGCAACAACTGTGTTGATCCCTACTCACTTGATATTTGTATACCTGCTTTTCTAACTCCTCATAACTCTTGTATTTCTTCTCTAAAACTCTTACATAATCCCATATTTTCCTTCGTTTCTATGTACATCCTAATCAAAACTCACTCAATAAATTATTCATCTTGTTACGTAACTAGAATACACTTATTCAACTTTTCCTATGCATTGAGTAATATTAACGAGTACATCTTTTTAGGTGCGTCGGTGGCGTAGCGGTTAGGACGCTCGCCGGCCATTCACATGCACAGGGGTTTGATCCCCGGCCACAGACGCACTCCTTTACCTCACCAAACCAGTAATAAAGATTATGCATGAGGCTACTAGCAACCCCTTGATTTAAGAATAAAACTTGTGCACTGTGGTAGAAGGTAATTCCATTATGGGTAAATTTTGTTTTGATAAAGTCTCACAAAGTTATACAGCAATGTTTACTGATGACGCTTCGAGCACAATTTATTGATCATAATCATATCAAGGTAATCACAGGACTTCCTAAATTCATTTATATACTTCCGTTGTTTTTCCCCACTTTCACAGTGTTAGAAACGGAACATATCTCTAGATTCTTGACACACATAAACTCACTAGTAAAGGGGAATAAAATTCACATTTGAAGCCGAAAATGAGCAAGGAGAATTAGCTATGTTAGATTGCAAAATAAAACGAATAGAAGAAGGCAAACTACACACTAGTGTTTATAGAAGACCAACGCATTCTAATAGATATTTAACCTTTAATTCATCTCATCTTTAACTGTTAAGGCAGGCTTAGTTAAGTGTTTAACAAACCGAACAATGGCACTAAGTAGCACAAAAAAAGACCTAAATGATGAAATAAAATACATAGAAAAGGCGTTGGTGTTAAACAACTATCCTTTAAAATTCATTAGGAAGATTGAAAAAGGCCAAAAGAAAAACAAAAAGAATTGTGAAACTAGTAATAATAACATAAATAAGAGAGAATATAAGTCATCTACAGTATGATACCATATAAGGAGGGGACATCTGAGACCCTACGTAGGATTCTAAATAAAGCAGGAATTAGGGTGGCATTCAAACCTACAAACTCACACAGGTAAGACAAGCTCTGTAGGTTAAAGGACCAAGTTGACCCAATTAGACAAAATGATATAATTTTCCACATACCTTGCAATGACTGTGAGTGAGGTCAACTACATAGGTCAAAGTAGTAGGTCGGAGGTGATCAGATTGTCGGAACATAAGAATTTATCTAAGGGAAGAATGGTTGATTCCACCCGCGAAGATAAGTAATTCAGAAAAAAACTCAGCAATCGCACTGTATGCATTAACACACAACCACACAATAGGGTGGGAGAGGGTAAAAATTCTAAAAAGTAATCCAGGTAGGTGGAGATACAGAGAGGTTGATTACTGAATCCTTGTTCATCGAATCTACACCCAACACATGCAATAGTAATGAATCATCACTCATACCCGAAATATGGAAAATATTACTACCAATCAAATCAAGTGAAAATCAAGTGAAAAACAATAGAACTATTTAAATGAATTTAGGAAGTCATGTGATTACCTTGATATGATTATGAGCAATAAATTGTGCTCGAAACGTCATCAGTAAACATTACTATATAACACTGTGATACTTTATCAATATAAAATTTACCCATAGTGTTGATCCCCACTCACTTGATATTTGCATACCTGCTTTTCTGGCTCCTCATAACTCTTGTATTTCTTCTCTAAAACTCTTACATAATCCCATATTTTCCTTCGTTTCTATGTACATCCTAATCAAAACTCAATCAATAAATGATCCATCTTGTTACGTAACTATAATACACTTATTCAGCCTTTCTTATGCATTGAGTAATATTAAGGAGTACATCTTTTGAGGTACGTCGGTGGCGGTCCGGGGTTCGATCCACGGCCACCTATGCACTCCTTTACCTCACCAAACCAGTAATAAAGCTGGTACAGAGGAAAGGTTGGTCATGAGGCTACTAGCAACCCCATCTTGTAAAAATAAACACTACTACAGAAACTTCAAGCAACTAGCCTGAGGCCCTATGTTTTTTGAGAACTCATCACCACTATCCTCTTTCTGATGTTTACCCCACCCCTCCACACACACACTAGTTACAATTTGATTACTCATCACATTTCTTGATTTATTTTGATGACGTAAACAACAACCACAACTAATTTTTATTCTTCTCTGACAAACCTAATATAGAAAATCAAAACAAATGATTCAGCGAAGAGACTCTTTTCAACGAATTTATCATCAAGCTGTACAATCGTATATATATGGTTTTTAAGAAGTTATATCCGGTGAGGGAATTGAAACATAGGTGTGAATGCATGAAATAATAATAATATGAAGTGCAATTAAAACTAAAATGTTTGTGATTATAATCGTAGTTAAATGTCAAGTGGCAAAGCAAATTAATGTCATATATAGAATAATTCATAGGATGGATAGAACTTGAAAAAGGGTGTGCAATTATAAGATTAGTAAACAAATCGAATAAAATAAAAACGTTACGTAATATTGTGTGAAATTTAATAGCATAGAATTTAATGTTGCATAAAGGAATTGATTTAGAATGACAAGTGGAACAAGTGAAATAATACCGGGGACAATTAAAAGTGAGAGTAGTAATAGTAACAATTGGCTTAATAAGGAAGAGTATACAAATTGAATAGACAAAAATGAAAAAATGAAGAATTGGTAGAGCTAAAATATGATTGGGGATTACCATACTTTAGCATAGAGGGATTAAGACCATGAAAGTTGGAGAGGTTGAACGAACTTTTTCTGTGCACAGAGATCTGGCTTTTCTGTTTCGATAGCCAAAGCTTCAGCAATACAGATGAGTTGGGTACGTAGGGATTTGGGTAAATTACTCTTTGCCTTGTAGATGACTTTGAAGGCGGAGGCTACAGAGATGGGGTGATCATTATCGACCAGATGTTCAATGATCGCGCTTCTTATTGCTCCACTACCACCTAATATACACATAAACATATACAAAAATAAATAAATACAATCGTGATTGCGCAGCTGGCTGAATGAATTCGCCTCCGAAAAGAGACTCTTCACTGAACTACATGACTTGTTTTCATGAAAGAAAGTGTAACATCCTGTAGTCAGTTTTTACATGATTTACTTTTATTTTTATTTGTACAGTTTCAATGAAGAGAAATGTACATTTTGTCAACAAGAGACCAAAGACTCCGTCGTCACTCAGTCCCATTATACTACTACTAATAATAAAAATGAAAAATCAACAGTACCATCATCAAGCAGAAGGCAACGTACATCTTTTATACCATCCAGTGATTCAAAACAGACAAGTACAAGTGAAACAGACGACCTTCTGTCGGCTTCAATCGCTTCAACTAATTACTTGTTAAATAATCCATCATGGAATTCTCCATTACAACATGATGTAAGTTGTTTCTATGCTGTCTGGTTTATGTTTGACTATAACATATGATGTGCGTCAGTGGCATAGCGGTTAGGACGCTCGCCGATCATGCACATGGTCCGGGGATCGATCCCCGGCCACAGACGCACTCCTTTACCACGGTAAGCCGGAAATAATGCTGGTGAAGAGGAAAGGTTGGGCATGAGGCTACTAGCAACCCCATCCTGTAAAAATTGAACACTGCTACAGAAACTTCAAGCCACTGGCTTGAATACCTATGTTCCACTGGGAACATGAAGGAAAAAAAATAACATATGATAAAAATTGTCATCACCACTGCTAATCTAAGAAAAATGGTTATTCTATATGAAAAGTATTCAAAATTGTAGATTAATTTGATTGCCTGGCTGGCTTTAAGATTATCTATAGTATTTTACAATAAACAGCATTATAAAGACACTAAATACAGAACAGTTAAAATTGTGGAAGAGTTGAATTGATGTTTAATCCATTTTATACTTAACAAGTAGGAACCATTAGTGTCGTTAGTGTCTAGTCCTAAGTATACTGCAGGCTGAATTCTGTCAGTCAAGTTTTCAGTGTGGTCACCATGCCACTAGGTGCCTCGTCATCAAGATACACTCAGAATTGTTGTTTACTAGATAGCTGGAGGCAGTTGGCCACAGGAAGCCTCTGACTTAGGTTTCGTGCTAGTTGGCACTCCACCAGTCAGCAAGGCGTATCTTCACTTTTAAGAGAACTCATGTTTCTTCTGAGATTGGAACCCATATAACCCAGTACTGAGGTCAGAGACGTTACCACTGAGCTATTAGGTAACAGTCTGCACCAAACAAAGGACTAGACACATTACACTAGTTACTAACTAGTATCCAGTCAAAGCATCCAATACAATCAGTCCTACAGGAGGTCAAACTTGAGCCCAAATAGCTCAGTGGTCATATCTGTGACTGTAGGCAGCACTGGGTGACACGGGTTCCAATCTCAGAAGGAGGAACATGAGTTCCTTCAAGATTGAAGATACGCCTTGCTAAATGCTAAATGCTACTCTCAAGTCTGTGTGGAGGTCAACAGCACCACTCAGCATCAAAAATAAGATCCGGATTTTCAACTCCAATGTGAAAGTCAGTGCTACTTAACAAACGGATCAGAGACTTGCACTGCGCGTCATAAAGAGCATCTCAAACAAACTACAGACCTTCATTAACAGTTGTCTTCGCTCAATACTCAAGATCAGATGGCCGGCCAGAAAAGATCAGCAACAGAGATCTCTGGCAATGAGCGAACCCACCAGGAACCGATTGTGAAACAAATAGGCAGGAAGAAATGGAGATGGATTGGCTGGCCATACTCTGAGGAAACCATCAAGTGACATCACTAGACAAGCCATTGCTCGAGTGGAACCCGAAAGGGAAGTGGCGAGTTGGTCGTCAGTGCGAAGGTGGGGTGACTTGGAGGAGGTGATGTGAAGAGGAGATGAAAGCGTGTGGGCAGACATGGAGCCAGGTGAAGACTGTAGCAGAGAACCGAACGCAATGGAGACGCACGGCTGAAGCCCTATGTTCCTCTAGGAATTAAAGGATACAATAATAATAATAAATGCTGTGTGCCAACTAGCAGATAACCTAAGTCTGAGGCTTCCTTTCGATCGTCTCCAACCATCTAATAGTCTCAGAAATTTCATACATTTATTCCCCTTAATGAATTTGAACAAAGCAAGAACTACAGTTTTAGCAGAATAAAGTGGTACCATCATTGTTTATTTCGTTGCCTTCTCGTCAGCTGCTTACAGGGCAAAGACATTATTAAATGTATCTACAAAAACAATTTTAACATACTTGCACAGAGTTCACTTTTAAACAAAAGTCAGTCGATCAATATACGCATACACTAATAATATATATATATATATATATGCAATATTAAACACTATTCCGAACAATAATAATCATACACAATGAAAACTTTTCAGCATCTCGCATTCGGATGAAAAATATCTAATAGTCACCATAAGATTTCGTAACGAACTCATAGCGAATTAGACATACTACTGGAATCTGTAGTTCCATAATTTCCAAACTTCTGATTTAAGATATAGGACAGGTACAATCCATTGTCACCAGAAGTTATCTGTTTCCATAATCTTCCATGTACATACAGTCAAGTAAGATTAATTTTCTTGAAATCAATGGCATCATTATCCAATGATTCCTTATAGCATTGGTTAGTGTTACTGAAAACATTTTCAAATAGTATTTACTGATAACAGAATGACCTCAAATTGGTTCCATGAAAAAAAACTCTCAGCATTTTAGCATTATGAACTTTAATAAAGATTTACAAACCTACTTCTGGGAATTCAATATTAAGTATGAGTAAAGAGTCATGTAGCTTATGTACAGGGCAGTGAGATGACAAGGAAATAAGTGTCCTTTGATGTCACAGTATTATATACTTCAATTAGTCCAAAACTAGCAAAAGAAACTAAGCAACAGTTACTCTATAGTAATGAAAACATAAAAACGCAATGTTCAACTTGGATAGAACTCATAGAATTATGTCTTACAACATACTTCCAACTCAATAATCAAATATACGAACAGATAAAAGGAACACCAATGGAATCACCCAAATCAGGATTAATAGCTGAAGCCATTATGCTGCAAAGATTAGAATTAATAGCTCTACCTATATTTGAACAAAAATCTGGGTACGTTACGTTGATGATACATTTGTAATAATGAAAAGAAATGTGATTTGGAATATACCCAAAAATTAATAAGCAACATATTTGAAGACATTAAATTCACCACGAGAGAAGAAGAATTAGACAAAAAATTCCATTTTTAGATATATTAATCAGGAGCACTAACACAGGAGATTTAGAAACACAAGTATATAGAGAACCAACGCACACAGATCAAATACTATAGTATACTATACTATACTGCTTAAAGGCACATAACTTTGAAAGTTGATAATATGTCTATTCCATGTCTGTAAATGGATCTCCTTAGCCGGTTGTCAGCATTCCTTCGCAGTTGAACATCGAAGAAAGGAAACATTGAGTCAGACTGAATTTCCAGAGTAAAATCGATGTTTCTTTTGGAGGTTTTGAGTACGTTCCTTTTTACATGTGAGAGAATTTGGATCACCATCTCACATCAAAACTCAGAGGATACAACACACTCTCAACTTTTACATACGAAATCGCCATTTATGCAAAATTTGAAAATTCATCTTCTGTTCATTAGTGATCAATTGCTGTGTATACAGAGTTACTTAAGAATAACAGAAAATGGTGGTGTCACTATATCACAGACTGCTGGAAGTTACAATTCATGTTCCTGATACTCAGGTAGAATGTCAACCAGTTAAAACCAAGACATTCTAGCCAGTACTAGAAATACAGCAAAGCGAATCATCAGTTCACCTGACAATTCTTGGGAAATAATTGAAATATTCATGTAATGAGACAGCATTTCCTGCATAGATTATCTTTTATGATTTGTATAAAAGGAGAGCTATTCACGAATAGGAATTATTATGTCAAGTAGCAAAGCATCCATGGTTCAGAAGTAAAATGCCGACCAACTGTACCTCACGTGGCCCATGGTTCAGTTCACGGCTGAAGAACTCTAAAACCTCACTTAACCGATAGTAAGCTGGGTGGAGAGAGAAGGTTCGGAGTTCTGCTAGCAGTCTCACCCCATAAAAATAAACATCACTACTTTCGAAACTTCAAACCTCTAGAGTTTGAAGCCCTTCTGTCCCACTCCAAACTCAAAAGAATAAGAGGAAATCCTAAGTATTACTTCTTATGTGTATCTATTTGTTGCTAACAGTGGAATTTAGAATGTACATTTTCCCCACAGAAGACCCAACTTTTTTACTGTAACTCCATTCATGCTGGTGTTCCCTCTGAAACTCTAAGCCTATACAGATTGTTTCACAAACCAAAATGGTGTGTGTGTGTGTGTGAAGACTAGTGGAATTCTTATTTGTATAGGTTGTAGTGATTAATAATAATAATGACAATTATAACATCTTTATTCTGCACAGTATTAATATGATGTACAGAATTGTGCGTCGGTGGCACAGCGGTTAGGACTCTTGCCGACCATGCACATGATCCGGAGTTCGACTCCCTGCCGAAGCACACCTGATATGTATGGTTGGCCTGCAAAATTTGGGCTACCGATATCACATGCTGAAAATTCCATACCTGTACCCAAAAATGAGGTGTGGAATATAATAATAATAATTTGCTTTATTCCAGAAACAGTACTAGTGGTACAGTGTGGAATTTTCAGCACATATCTACAATATTTGCATCTAATTTTATCAAACATTTAAAAGGAGTATTTCAAAAAAAAATAAATATAAAGACACCAACAGCAAAAAAAAACAGGAAAAACACAAAATAATTTTTAAAAATGCGAAAAAATACCAAGAAGTAGAAAGGAAAATAAACATCATATAATAATAACTCAGTATTGGGTAGTGGAAGCTATGATATGATTATGCATGGTGACAGTAAAGCTATAGTCATACAAGAAGTTATGAAATGATATTTAAGAATGTTTATCGCCAAGATGATCAGTTAATTTGGTTGAAACAACTCTAAACAATCATAAAATAACATTTCAGGGTTGTTGTTTTGTTTTTTATTGTCAGGTCTAATGCAGTGTTTGTAGTGGTAGTGTGAGTAATCCTGCATAATACAAAATTTTAAGGTGGTGATAATGGCGTTCACAACCAATGATTGTCAGTTAATATTGCCGAAAAAAAATAAAAAATAAGAAAAAACAACCACAAAACTAATAATTACATGATGGTTAATGACAGGACAATTTTGTAATACTCATAGTGCTAATATAGTCGGAACCAGTAGATACACAAAAGAAGGAATACAGTAAAGTACAAAAAAGGAAGCCAATGTTAATAATTTAGGTAGCTAAGTATGTTTAAGAAGGAGTTCACTATAGAATACAAAATAAGAGAGAAATAAAAGAGCCTAAAATTATGTTATTAACAACAAAGCAAGTCATAGGTTTCACGCTTAACATTGTCTCTGTCACTTAGAACACGGGCCAAGTATGGTATCGTTGAGTTCCTGTACTTGGTTGTACGAGCATAGATTATTTTATACTGATTTCTGGTTCTACTTGATGAGATACAAGGCGAGAGTTGGGAATAGAAGGGGGTGTTGGGGGTCGGAGAGTATGGTTTTAGACCATTTTTCGCATGTATTCAGATGCCTTTCAACTAATGTAGTGACGAGCTGACTGAGTTTTACACCACTAGTCCTACTAACTACCTTCAACATCCTTCTCAGGATGGTATAGTCCTTTTTCAGTAGACCAGGAAAGACTAACGGGGAGCAGTAAAGTAGAATAGGTAAGATACAAGAGTTGACAAATTGTGAAAGTAGAGGTTGGGTGATTCCAGATTGTCTAAGTTTCTTAATGTAGTAGGTAAGACAGAACACTTTCTTAGAAATCGTTAGGATATGAGATGTCCAAGTAAGGTCGGAAGATAGAACTAGACCGAGGTATTTTGCATTAGACTTAGTTTCAATTTTAGTCCCCTCAATGCAACAGGCTTCATGAGTACTTACTAGTGTTTGTAGATCTCGTTTATGCCTAAGGGAGAAGTCAATAGTCTGGCATTTTGAGGGATTCAGCATGAGACCATTTAGTTTAGACCACTGACTGATGTCCGACAGGAAGCTATTTAATTTGAAACAGTCTGACTGAGACTTAATGGGAAACGATACAGACAGGTCATCTGCATATTTGACGAAGTTGATTTCATCTGAAAGAGGTAAATCATGTAAGAAGAAGGAAAAGAGAAACGGAGAGAGAACCGCACCCTGAGGAACTCCAGCTTCAGTAAGCAAAGGAGAGGAAGATACGCCATTATATACCGTGTACTGCATCCTATTAGAGAAGTAAGAGTGTAGCCAGTTGATAGCCCAGGGCTCAGTTTGTGTAAGATTAAGCTTGTTTAACAATAGGCTGTAATCTAAAAAAATTTTCAAAGGAGTTTATTCCATGATAGTTTCCCTTCATACAATATCTCCAAGTATATTCTATGATAAAATGCTCTCTGAGCTGTAGCATAAACCATTCCATTATGATATATCTGCTTTGCCTCCTTCAAGAAATCCATCATATCGATCTAGTTGAAAGCCAATTGTAAGATGTTCATTTTGAGACTCAAGAACATAAGGGAAGAACAGTTATCTCGTGTATTGGAACATGTTACCACCTACAACCTGACCTTTCATCAAGTTAGGTAGGAACTTGAGAATCAGCATCTTCCCTGGACTACTTAAGAAAGACTTTGCTTTGCTGCGTAGGGCACTAAAAGCTGTTAGTATGGGAAGTGGGGTTTCGTTAAACCAAGTGGTTAACACCATTGTGGATAGACATATAATGTCATGTAAGAAACTAGCGAATTCTATATTGTCAAACCCCGAACACCCTCTCTATACTCAGCTCTCTCCTTGCATTTCATCTGGTAGAACTAGAAGCAACTATAGGAGGCCAAATGCCAAGAAAACTAAGTACAAAACTCCACAATACCTTATCTGGCACAGCTGTTATGTGATGAGAAATCCGTTAGGTATGACACGATCAACTTACTGCAGCACTCTAACAAATAGTTCTCATTAGCTTTTGTTCTCCTTTCTTTGTTACTATTATACTGTTGCTCATATATTCTATTACAGACTAATTTTATATATCATATCCTGTGGTGCATTGTTTAAATATGTGAATGCAATGCTGTTCTTTTTTATTTCTTTTATTTCTCTTTTCTCTTTTTGTTGATGTTGTTCCTTATTTTTAAATCCTTATAAAATTTATGAGGTAATTAGATGCAATATTGTAATGCACGCTGAAAATTCCATACCTGTACCACAAATACTGTTTGGAATAAAGCCATTATTAATATTATTATTATTATTAAACTTGAGAATCAGAAACTTGTAAACATTTTAAATCCACACAAGCGTAGATAGATAATACCACTAGAGGTCATATCTTAATCGATTAAAACCAACCGAAGGAGAGAAAATATATGCAATGGAGAGGTGGAAGTTTTTGGTAGCTCAATGTTTAAGCATGCCGCCACTTCTTAGTGCTGGATTGAAATAGTGAATACTAGGAATTGTACATGCAATAAGGGATATTTTTTGTTTGTTTTACTTGATTCTGAATTTTTTTCCTTCACGTTGCTAGTGGCTTGAAGTTTCTGTAGCAGTGTTCAATTTTTACAGGATGGGGTTGCTAGCCTCATGCCCAACCTTTCCTCTTTACTAGCATTATTTCTGGCTTTGCGAGGTAAAGGAGTGCGTCAGCCGGGGATCGAACCCCGGACCATGTGCATGGTCGGCGAGCGTCCTAACCGCTATGCCACCGACGCGATTCTTAATTTAGTAGTAGTATTTACAGTTTCACTTATTAAATTAATAATAGTCCAGAGTTTGGTTTGTAAGCATTAGATTTGTTTATACGAGTTTGACCACGGATTGATATCAGTTAGAGAACTATTGAAAACCATCACTAGAGTACTGGACACCTGTTTCATCCTAGTTTTGGGAATCATCAGCAGTACGCACCTACCACATGGAGTTTGAAACCAGGAACTTTCGGTTATAAGGCAATCTTGTATAGCATTCAGCCACTGGGACCTGACTTTTCAATGGCCAAGCGATGAATTCTAACTTCTACCAATTCGTGATTTTAGCGCAACTGGCACCAACCAATGTCATCGGGGGGAACTCAATCCTCACACTTGACTGGACGAAGCTCTCTGATCACGACTTCTCACTAGAACTCCAGGAAACTCTTTCCTGTAGCCAGTCACTCACTAGCGAGCATCAGATTAATTTTCAAGGGTAAGTTTTCTAAGGATAAGATTTGTTTATACAAGTTTGACCACTGATTGATATCAGTTGGAGAACCACTGAAAACTAGGTATAGGAGCTTGCCTTGTAACCTGGAGGTTCTGGATTCGAACTCCCTGTGGTGGGTGCTTATTGCCGATGATTCCCAGACTAGGATGAAACAGCTGTTCAGTACTTCAGTGCTGGTTTTCGATGGCTCTCTAACTGATATCAATCCGTGGTCAAACTTGGATAACAAAGTTGTTGGTAAAATCAAGACCATAGGGTTAAGAAAGAGACCATACAAATTGTTTTTGTACACAAAGCCTCTGCCATTCAAAGCCGAAGCACTCGTGTCTCTTTCGGCAAACTCTGTAGTACTTTGTAGACTATAATAAACGATTAATCAGATGCTGCGTGGTCAGTATCTACAATTTGTTTAATTATTATAACTGCATCAATTGTAAGCTATTTCTTTTATGAAACATACTAATCTTAGCGTTAATATTGTACCCCACTCCATGTTCTTCTTCTTCTTGATATCAAAACACAACAACAACAACGACAACAACAACGCAGAAGGAATTGGCTTTCCGACGAGCAAATGAAATCTTGGTAAGAGCATCTAGAGATCTTGAATGGTCCGTAAAAACACTACTGGCTGAAACAAACTTTTACAATTCGCTTAGTAGTACAAAATCTTTTTCGAATGGCAATGAAGATGTCAACAGAGCTGGCGTACAAATTCCTATATCAGAGAAAAATAGAAGTGCAGGTAAAGCATTTCAAATTACTCGTATTACTTCTATAAGAGAATAATTTTATTTGATGAAACACACAAAAATAAAGTACTTTTTTAATAATAATAATAATAATTCACTTTATTCCACAACAATAACAAATTTACAGCATGGAATTTTCAGCGTTTCTTTTACATATTGCAATGGTTTAGCTCTGTTTATAATTATATAAATGTATAAAAATGTTAAAATATTGATAGTTATTAGGAAAAATAAAAATAAAACCCAACAAAATCACACCATTGCTAGGTCATAGTGAATAATAAATAAATAATATAACAAATAACACATGCAATAATATGCATCATTAAATTTTATAGTTCAGTTAATGATCTAAAAGTTGTAAAAGTTCTTTTCTGATATTTGTCTCTTCACACAATACTCGTGCCAAATATGGTACGGTCGAATTTTTATATTTTGTAGTACGAGCATAAATGTTTATGAAATTTCTTCTGGTCTTACCCGAAGAGATACAAGGAAACAATTGTGAATAAAGAGGATGTTCACTATCAGACAAGATAACTTTAGCTAAGTGTTTACAAGAATTCATGTGCCTATTGACAACAGTGTCGGTTAGTTGAGTCAAAGGGATAGCACTGACCCTACTTACAGCCTTCAATGTTCTTCGTAGTATTATATGGTCTTTCTTGAGTAGCCCAGGGAAGAATAATGGAGAACAATAAAGAATGATGGGCAAAACACATGAATTAATAAATTGTATGAGAAGAGGTTGGGTTATACCTGAGTGCCTCAACTTCTTTATGTAATAAGTCAGACGGAAAACCTTTTTAGAAACTATAAGAATATGAGACGACCAGCAAAGGTTTGAAGAGAAACTAATGCCAAGATAAGAAACACTTGACTTACTCTCTATCATGTTACCATCAATATTACAACAATCATGAGATTGGATCAATCCATGCATGTCTTTTTCACTTCTCAAGCTGAAATCAACAGTATTACATTTAGTTGGATTTAGTTTAAGACCATTTGAGCCAGACCAATCCTTAACTTCAGCTAAGAAGCCATTCATATGGGAACAATCCGATGTGGAAACTACAGGGACAGAAACGGTCAGATCATCAGCATACTTAATGAAGTTAACTTTGGGTGAGTTCGGAAGGTCATGCAAAAAGAAAGAGAAAAGAAATGGAGAAAGTACTGCACCTTGAGGCACACCACTTTCAGTTAGCTGAGAAGTGGAGCGCTTTCCAGCCAAAACAGTATGCTGTTTCCTATCCTTAAAACAAGAAGACAGCCATCTAGTTGCCCAGGACTCTGTTTGTGCTGAAATCATCTTTCCTAATAAAAGTGTCCTAGGAACAGAGTCGAAAGCTGCAGTATAGTCTAAAAAAGCTGTTCGAACGAACTTAGCACCCTTATCAAGGCAGGAAACAATATTGTGGCGACGTATCGAGCACAATCTTTTTTTCAAACTACTGTTTTGTGGTATTATTATTCCCTTGCGCTCCGAGTGGAACATACGGCTTTAACAAAACATCTCCACTTCGTTCTGTTTTCTGCTGTCCTCTTCAGATGGGTCCACAATTGACCAAACTCTCTCGTCTCTTCCTCACATGATCTCCTCCATGTCACCATCGCACTGACCACTCAGTCATCGCTTCCCATTTGGATTCTACTCGAGCGATGACCTGGCGTGCGATGTCATTCGGTGGCTTCCTCAGTGTATGCCCGATCCATCCATCTCCATTCTGTTCTACATATTTGTTGAGTGATTGGCTCTTGGTCGGTTTGTTCCCAGCCAGAGTTTCTTGTTGCTTATTCTTTCTGGCTGGCCATTTGATCTTCAGTATGGAGCCAGCCAGCAAAGTTGGCAGCTGTTGATGAAAGTTTGCAACCTGTTGTAAATCCTTTTCGTGACACACCGACCAAGTTTCTGACCAGTATAGAAGAACCGACTTTGCATTGGTGTTGAAAATACGAATCTTGTTCCTTATGCTGGGTTCGGAAGATTTCTAAACTGGTTTTAGAATGGTGAAGGCATATCTTGCCTTTCCGATTCTGACTTTGACATCTTCGCCCATTCCGTCAGCCTGTAGTTAAAACGATGCTTCTCAGAAAAGTGAAGAAGGTAACCTCTGTTAAATCTCTCCCGCTGATGGTGATTGATGTTGATTGTTTTTGATATTGGTGGTGGTTGGTTATCTCCATCACCTCTGTCTTCTCTGTGTTCACCTGTACTCCTATATTCGCTGCCTGCATCTTCAGCCAGTTTGTTGGTTTTCTCCTGTAAGTCTTGGAGTTTACGTGACATTGGATATATGTCATCTGTGAAATCCAGATCTTACAGAGTATCCTTATCGGTGGTCCAGCGTATTCCTTTCTCCTCACTCCCAGCTCACAGTTTCCCGCATAATCCAGCCCACAGCAATTAGGAATATAATCGGTGATAATGGTAGCCAGCTTATCTTGCTCCTGTATGCACTTCAAACGCCTCACTGAGTTTTCAGCTGTGGATCGCTTGACACGTGGCATTGTCATATAGCTGTTGAATGAGGTTGACAAATTCTTGAGGTATGCTATAGTGTTGAAGTAGTTTCCAAATTACTTCTCAGCAAACTCTACAGTGTCGAAGACCTTTTCGAAGTTGATGAAGTTGAAGTGGAGAGAGCTTTGACTGCCATTCTATGCTTTGTTTGATTATGATGGAGCGTAGGGTTGCAATTTGATGAATCCAGCTTGTTCCGGCTGGAGGAGTTCTGTATTCAGTGCATCCTTTGTTATCTCCCGGATGATGCGACTTAGTATTTCACTTGGCGTGGACAAGAGCATTATTCCACGCCAGTTCTTGCACAGTGAGTCCTAAGTTGCCCTTCTTTGGCAGTTTGACGAGGTAGGCACCTTTCCTTCCTTCCAAACATTTTGCAGTAATGGAGTAAGAACATTTGCCATAATCTTTTTTATGGTAGCTATGATTTTAATAATCTGTGACCAGTGCACTAAAATTTGTTTATCTATTGCTGAGTTGTTGGTCTTGATGATTAGCTCTTTCAGGATTGAAAGCAGAAGGAAATAAGAATGAGCATATTAAATATGAGCAGTTCTTCATCTGTTTCCATATTCTTCTTGAAACACCATTAAACAGACCTAAAATTTGTGAAAACACACAAGGCGGTAACAACAATGGTTACTCTTACTGTTACCTAATTCCAGTGTAGATGTCACTGGCCACCACATACTAAGTTCCACCTGATAACTGTTTCCCTGTAGTCTGAGCTGGACCAGTAGTGTCCACCCACGATCCCACCAATAAGTTAACCAAAGACCAGATTAAGAGGTCAGTTAGTGGACCATTCAGCTACTTGGCTGGAATTCAGTGTTAGTTTATGATATGTAGACACTGCCGACCAGTGTCATCGATTAGAGTCTGTTACATCCTGACCTTTTCAGCACATACCTCAATTTGAAGTGAGCTTTTAGGTTTCTCCACGATTTTGTTAGTCACCTCTCCTGATCAGTGACCTTGAACATTGTCATTGGTTGCTCTTGTCTGTCTTCACACCCTCTAGGCTACTTGTGCTATTGGTATTGGTGCTGATTGTTTCCTTGACCTGAAGTTTGACACTTTGTGCATGTGAGATTTCCTTCTTATCGATTAGTACAGTTTGTCTCTTTGTCAATGTGTCTATTAATTGACGATTCATTGGAATACCAGGTAGGCTTCTAAAAATTCTCTAGCATTCTTGGTGCTTCCTCTGTCTAATATTTGAACGTTGGTTTTCCCAGTCGAAATGATGTTCGTGGTTGTCTGTATGCAGTGATATGATGGAGTGGATATCATGTATTTTGACAGCCACCTTATGTTCATGAATGCGAACAAGAAGAGGGCTCGGTCGGTTTTATATTCTTTCTATGTTGAGTCTTTTGACTGACACAGAGCTGAATGAAATGATTTTGTTGGTTCACTTACGACATTATTCTTAAGGGTTTGAAGATTCTTGCAGTGATTTCAGAGACGTCCTTTGTATATGCTTAGATGATTTTCTTTGTGTTTTAAAAGTCACCAGGAGAGATGACGAATAAACTCGTGGAGAAAATTAGACGCTGACATCAACAAATTGAAGTATGCGCACTGAAAATTTTGTCTAGTAGGGTAATGAAAGCTTTGCAAGTAAACGATCCATCCAGCTGAGAGGACACAAGTGTTTATCAAAATCATCCACTTGAGCCAAAATTCTTGAAATAATAGAGAAGATTTGTAGCTCAGGTGGATGATTTGCAATTAAAAGTGTTCTCTGAGCTAAATATGTTCACTTTGTGCTAAATATGACGCTGAAGATGTTGTACAGAAGGACGACGAAAGCTTCGCAACTAAACCAATCAGCTCAGAGAACACTTTTAATTGCAAAGCCCAAATTCTTCTCCATTATATCACCCTGACATGTTGGACACAGGACCTTACTTCAGAAAATTAATCCAATAGTTTTTGGTGAGGTGCGATCACAGAAGATGCACATATTGAACTACTGAAAGCAGTGGTTTCCTTTGTCCCAAACATCTTGTTAAATATGGCGAATATCTTAAAAATATATTAACACTTGATCTTTCCGTACTGATTTAAATGACAGCGTTGAAACAAAATCATAACCACCAAGCCTTTCCTTTTTGTAAACGTTCATTTTATGCTGAACTACATTTTACACTAGGCATAATTATATTGATTTTTGAATTCATTCAGGGTCTAGACAATATGACTTTAACAGAAAATCGGCTAATTCACAATCAGATATGACAAATTCTTTCGGTGCATTAGCATATGGATCAATTCTTGGCTGGAATGCTCCAGAAGAAGAAGGCGACGAAGAAAGGCGTAGATTAGTCACAAATACAAGAAGTCGTAGTCCTTCATCATTCGACTCTTCTTCAAAACCTGTACGAATGAGCATGAATCAAGAAAAAAGTAATAATAAGAAAAAGGTGAGGTGTCTAATTTAGTGAAGTTCTTTTTCATTGTCATTATTTTATAAATTAAATGTGTAATAGACAGTTATGAAATTACCCCTGTGTATTTTATTTAACCAAAATAGATATAAGAATAAAACTTGTGCACTGTGGTAGAGTGTAACTCCATTATGGGTAAATTTTGTTTTGATAAAGTCTCACTGTGTTATACAGTAATATTAAGTGATGACGTTTCGAGCACCATTTATTGCTCATAATCATATCAAGGTAATCACACGACTTCCTAACTTCACTTACGTAGTTCCGTTGTTTTCCACTTGATTTTCACTTGATTTGATTGGTAGTAATATTTTCCATATTTCGGGTATGAGTGATGATTCATTCCTATTGCATGTGTTGGGTGTAGATTTGATGAGACAGGCAGGATTCAGTAATCAACCTCTCTCTCCACCTACCTAGATTACTTTTTAGAATTTTAACCCTCTCCCACCCTATTGTGTGGTTGTGTGTTAATGCATGCATTGCAATTGCTGAGCTTTTTTCTAAATTACTTATCTTCTCGTGGGATCAACCATTCTTACCTTAGCTAAATTCTTATGTTCTGACAATCTGACTACCCCTGACCTACTAGTTTGACCTATGTAGTTGACCTCACAGTCATTGCAGGGTATTTTGTAAATTATATTATTTCGTCTAATTGGATCAACTGGGTCCTTTAACCTACAGAGCTTGTCCTACCTGTGTGAGTTTGTAGATTTGAATGCCACCCTAATTCCTGCTTTATTTAGAATCCTACGTAGGGTATCAGATGTCCCCTCCTTATATGGTATAACTGTAGATGACTTATATTCTCTCTTATTCATGTTATTATTACTAGTTTCACAATTATTTTTATTTTTCTTCTGGTATTTTTCAATCTTCCTAATGAATTTCAGAGAATAGTTATTCAACACCAACGCCTCTTCTATCTGTTTTATTTCATCATTTAGGTCTTTATTCGTGCTACTTAGTGCCATTGCTCGGTTTGTTAAACACTTAACTAAGCCTGCCTTAACAGTTAAAGATGAGATGAATTAAAGGTTAAATATCAATTAGAATGCGTTGATCTTCTATAAACACTAGTGTGTAGTTTGCCTTCTTCTATACGTTTTATTTTACAATCTAACATAGCTAATTCTCTTTGTTCATTTTCGGTTTCAAATGTGAATTTTATTCCCTCCTCTAGTGAGTTTATGTGTGTCAAGAAGCTAGAGATATGTTCTGTTTTTAAAATTCTAAAGTTCTAAATTCTGTTAAAATTCTTAAAAGTAATCTAGGTAGGTGGAGAGAGAGGTTGATTACTGAATCCTGTCTGGTTCATCGAGTCTTCATCCAACACGTGCAATAGGAATGCTTCATCACTCATACCAGAAATATGGAAAATATTACTACCAATCCAATCAAGTGGAAATCAAGCGAAAAACAATGGAATTATATAAATGAATTTAGGAAGTCGTGTGATTACCTTGATATGATTATGAGCAATAAATTGTGCTCGAAACGTCATCAGTAAATATTACTGTATAACACTGTGAAACTTTATCAAAACAAAATTTACCCATAATGGGATTACACTCTACCACAGTGCACAAGTTTTATTCTTATATCTATTTTGGTTTAATAAAATACACAGAGGTAATTTCCTAACTGTGTATCACACATTTGATTGAGAAGAATAAGAAGTTCAGCAAAGATATCTTTTCGGCGATTTCATTTTCAAAAGCTGTACAATCGCATTTAAATACATAATTTTACATGGAGACAATTCTTGTTTGATTCTACATAATTATGACAGCGAATAAAAGGTGATAATTATTTCCAACTAGATATGGTTATACGAGAGGCTTAGAAACAAAAAATTACGCAGGATTAGAACGGATATCAAGTGTGTAAAAATGAGCATGGATACAAAATTGAAATAATAATTTTCAACTTGAGATGGGAATCAGGAGGTGCGAATATAGATTACAAGAGCCTTAGAAACAAAATTACATGGAATTTAGCAAATTACAGGTGTGCAGAAAGTGAGCATGGAAACAAAATTGATATAATAGTTTTAACTTAAAATGGAAATTAGGAGGTGTGAATATAGATTACAAGAGCCTTAGAAACACAAAATAATTGCACAGGATTAAGATATAATTGCAAATTTTTTTTAAAAACGTATTATAAATGTGAACAGGAAAAGCATGGAAACAAACTTAAAATAAATGTTTTTATAACTGGATAAAAAAAATGGGGTGAATCGAATGAAGACTGAGGGAGTAAGAATCACACACATAGCGAACGAAAAGGGATAAAAAAAAACAAAACAAAAACAGAAACAAAAATGGAAGCTACGGTAACATACCGAACTAAGTCCATGGTAGTTTTAGAGGTTGAACTAATTTCTTTTGGACACACAGCTCCGGCTTCTCGATGCATATTGCGAGGGCTTCTGCAGTACAGAGAAGTCGGAAATAAACTGCTTTCGGTAGGTTTCTGTTGACCTTGTAAATTACTTTGAATGAATCAGTTGAGATGTTGTGGGAGGTATTGATCAGATGCTCAATAATGGCACTTCTGATTGAACCGGTGCCTCCTCTTTGCAGCCACGCTGAGTAGTGTTCTCTAACACGTTTTGAAAGGACGCGCATGCAACGAACTATGTACCTTGCTCCGCACGAGCAGGTGAACTGGTAAATGCACATTGAATTGGCCATAAGCGACAGTTTGTCCTTCCCATTGCTCCGAAGAAGTGGGCGGCTAGAGAATGTCACTCTTAGAGTTGCTGCCGGAAAAGTCTTCTTCAGGGATTTGGAGATTCTCCTTTTAAGGATATCTGCTGCCAGGTCTCCCCTGAATTCCAGATTCAGATAGAGTGTCTTCTTTTGCACTGAAATGTATTCTTCTCTTTTTGGCCTTGGTTTCATGTTCTTCTCCACGAAACGTGGCGGGTATCCGTTTTGAATCAGGATGCTTTTTAGGAATAGGAGCTCTTCTTCTAAACAGTCATCACTGCAGATTCTTCTGGTGCGGTGGGCTAGTGACATGATGAGAGCTCTTTTACGGCTGATAGGTACCCAATTATATCTTAATCCTGTGCAATTATTTTGTGTTTCTAAGGCTCTTGTAATCTATATTCACACCTCCTAATTTCCATTTTAAGTTAAAACTATTATATCAATTTTGTTTCCATGCTCACTTTCTGCACACCTGTAATTTGCTAAATTCCATGTAATTTTGTTTCTAAGGCTCTTGTAATCTATATTCGCACCTCCTGATTCCCATCTCAAGTTGAAAATTATTATTTCAATTTTGTATCCATGCTCATTTTTACACACTTGATATCCGTTCTAATCCTGCATAATTTTTGTTTCTAAGCCTCTCGTATAACCATATCTAGTTGGAAATAATTATCACCTTTTATTCGCTGTCATAATTATGTAGAATCAAACAAGAATTGTCTCCATGTAAAATTATGTATTTAAATGCGATTGTACAGCTTTTGAAAATGAAATCGCCGAAAAGATATCTTTGCTGAACTTCTTATTCTTCTCAATCAAATGTGTGATACACAGTTAGGAAATTACCTCTGTGTATTTTATTTAACCAAAATAGATATAAGAATAAAACTTGTGCACTGTGGTAGAGTGTAATTCCATTATGGGTAAATTTTGTTTTGATAAAGTTTCACAGTGTTATACAGTAATATTTACTGATGACGTTTCGAGCACAATTTATTGCTCATAATCATATCAAGGTAATCACACGACTTCCTAAATTCATTTATATAATTCCATTGTTTTTCGCTTGATTTCCACTTGATTGGATTGGTAGTAATATTTTCCACATTTCTAGTATGAGTGATGAAGCATTCCTATTGAACGTGTTGGATGAAGACTCGATGAACCAGACAGGATTCAGTAATCAACCTCTCTCTCCACCTACCTAGATTACCTTTTAGAATTTTAACCGTCCCACACCCTATTGTGTGGTTGTGTGTTAATGCATACAGTGCGATTGCTGAGTTTTTTCTAAATTACTTATCTTCGCAGGTCGGTTCAACCATTCTAACCTTCGCTAAAAGCTTATGTTCCGACAATCTGATCACCTCCGACCTACTAGTTTGACCTATGTAGTTGACCTCACTCACGGACATTGCAAGGTATATTGAAAATTATATCCATTTGTCTAATTGGGTCAACTGACAGGATCCTCTAACCAACAGAGCTTGTCCTACCTGAGTCAGTTTGTAGGTTTGAATGCCACTCTAATTCCTGCTTTATTGAGAATCCCTTCCTTATATAGTATAACTGTAGATGACTGATATTCTCTCTTATTCATGTTATTATTACTAGTTTCACAATTATTTTTATTTTTCTTCTGGTATTTTTCAATCTTCCTAATGAATTTCAGAGAATAGTTATTCAACACCAACGTCTCTTCTATCTGTTTTATTTCATCATTTAGGTCTTTATTCGTGCTACTTAGTGTCATTGCTCGGTTTGTTAAACACTTAACTAAGCCTGCCTTAACAGTTAAAGATGAGATGAATTAAAGTCTAAATATCTATTAGAATGTGTTGGTTTTCTATAAACACTAGTGTGTAGTTTGCCTTCTTCTATTCGTTTTATTTTGCAATCTAACATAGCTAATTCTCCTTACTCATTTTCGGCTTATTCCATCCACAAGTGAGTTTATGTGTGTCAAGAAGCTAGAGATATGTTCTGTTTTTAAAATTCTAAAGTTCTAAATTCTGTTAAAATTCTAAAAAGTAATCTAGGTAGGTGGAGAGAGAGGTTGATTACTGAATCCTTGTTCATCGAATCTACACCCAACACATGCAATAGGAATGAATCATCACTCATACCCGAAATATGGAAAACATTACTACCAATCAAATCAAGTGAAATACAATGGAATTATATAAATGAATTTAGGAAGTCGTGTGATTACCTTGATATGATTATGATCAATAAATTGTGCTCGAAACG